ATATTTAAGGACTTATGATATGTACTATTAAAGAAGATAAAGAGTAAATTAGGTTGTATCTTAAAAAAGAAAAATTTTATGTTTTACTTAAGATAAAATTAAATGTTTTTGGGGTATAAACGTTATGATATAATAATTTAGACTAAAATAATGACTCATCAAGCAACAGAGGAAAGATTTTGTCTATCTTTTGTTCAATATCAAGGACTCATAGTATGCTATAGCCCATAGATGAGAAATATGTTTTCAATGAATTTAATTGAATTAATACTTATGAAATTGAACAAAAAAATCTTACAAAAAAAAAGAAAAAAAAGTAAATTTAGGTTAATTTTTGACAACACATCCATTATATCTCACAAATAAATTTTTAATGTAATTTAATTTGATATAAATTGTATTCGTAAATTTTTAATTGATTTAAATTTAAATAACTAGCAAATAAAATATTATATATTTAATGGCAAATAATCTTTATTAAATAAATAAATAAATACTAAAAATTTAAAGGTAAATTTGTTATTTTTTAAAATTCATAAGGATATTAATGCGATTCACTTTTAACACTTTTGGATTAATTTAAATAATTAACTAATAAATTATATATATTTAATGAAAAATAATCTTTAATACATAAATAAAAAATGCTAAAAATTTAAAGATAAATTTATTATTTCTTAAAATTTGTAAGAATATTTATGTCGTTCACTTTTAATAATTTTAAAATTTACACTTTTATATATATAACATTCAAGCTTTTAGCTTAATAGTTAAAGTTGTTTGAGAGGATATCAAGAACCTGATTTCAAATCAAATTTTCTTCTTTACCTTTACTTATACTAACTTTACTCTCCTTATATAAAAAATAAAAAAAATTTATCTACAGTAACAAAAATAAATTAATTTTGGGCTGCAAAGGTACCCAACGCCCTGATCCACAACAATCGTGGGTTTAGATCAAACCAACTAGCTTTAGGTCAAGAGGCCCATCTCCACATGCTCCAAAGTCCAAACCAACTTCACAGACCAGGCCGGAACATGGCTCATATCGCCATGAGAAACGGATTATACAAACATTTTTCTTACCACTAGTAGTCCAGTCCTATGCACACTCACTGATTTAAATTAAAATTTGATTATTTAGACAAAAATTTAAAAAATAAAAAATTTTATATTTATTTGAATAATAAATTTTAAAGAGTGAAAATGAGGAAACTTCTTTTACCTAAACATGTACAAATTTTTATAATTGTCAATATATAAACTTTATACACATTGTTAGTCAAACTGACGTTACTATTTTATTAATAAGTAAATATCAAAATTTAAAATAAATATATAAAAATTAACAGTTTTTTTTAAAAAATTACTCATGAATGAGGTGGTATTATTTAATTAACTTTATTAATGAGATAACATTATCCGATTTACTAATAATATATAAAATATATACACCGATAATGAATCAAATATAAATTTTTTTATAATAAAAAATAAAACTAAGTGGATTTTAAAATTGGAATGTCTCTCCTAAAAAAATAGTTTACCATTATAACTTTATTAATATATATATTTTTATTGTATAATTTATTATTATTATTTTTTTATCAATTTACTCATTGAATTTGACACCAACTCAGTTGGGGATTTTATAAATATCGCATAGATATTCGATGTTGCGATGCTTAACTGAAAGTGAGTAAGAGTTGAATAACTAAAAAAAAATTAGTTTGCATCTTAAAGTTTACTACTACCTATTTAACTTGTCCAAGTTGAACTTAATTAATCATAAAATGCTTCCTTTGAAAGAAGAAAATAGGAAAAAGGGAAAGGATTGCACAATATATTAGAAGGTAAAGAGGCCAAGCTTGAGTAGAGTCAGGCAAGAATGTTTCAAAATTATAAAACAATTCACAAAGAAAAAATATATTACTCTCCCTCCTACCCATAAATAAACATAAGTAAATAATAATATATGCATGAAGGACTGCTAGAAAGTTAGAACTATAAACTAAGAGTTTTTAAGGATTTATTTATGGTTATAGTTACATCACCAGTTTATAAATAAATCTTACAAAGGAAATATACTCTAAAAATAAAAGTAAATAAATAAGTACTAAATTTAAATTCATATCTAGATATTTATTTTTTTAAAGTTAGATGTCTATTATTTTTTTATACATGCCCATATTAATTGTTTCTTAATGAAAATATATATTAGAAAATAAATATAAAAAATACACTAGGCATATATATATATATATATATATATATATATATATATATATTAAAGGATTAGATTTCGTCTTTTGGTATTTGAGGTGGTAAAAATTTGAATTATAAAAAAAATTAAAAATTTAACACTTTACCAACAAATCATACGAATATTAGTTAAATTTTATTATATTATATAATCACATTTCCTCATAAACTCAAAATCCAAATTAATTTCCATTTTATTAAAATAAAAAAGAATATCTAAATTAACCTTTAACTTGGTCATATTCATAAATATAAAGCCGGCATGCTTAAAGAAAATATACTTTGTTGATATGAAAGAAACAGCTTAATAGAATAAAAAAATGGATAGAAAATATTATACTATCAAATTTATTTAACATTAATTATAAATATTTTTTAGTGTTTTGAATGTAAAATAATTAATTAGATAAAATATGTAGAATACGTGGAGGTACAATGTGATATGGCCACGTGGTATTAGTCTGTCGACAATTTGTTCTTGGTTTTAGGATTGGTCACAGTGATGGAGACTTGTTAACTAACTATTGATATTAATAGTCGTACTGTTTGGTCAATTATTTTAATAAATAGGACCTTGCATTAGGCTTTAACAATGATATCCGTTGCCAACCTTGATTTTGTTTTATGGTTTATGAAATTAATACTCCATGTGTTTGTCCATGAATGTCACCCCCAAATTCCATTTTTATAATGCAACTGGATTGCAACGTTGATGCTTGCTTTTTCTTAAAGAATTACCAATGGAAAACTTGCCTTTCTTCAAACATCATCAAGATTTCAAAGATTTTATCAAAGTTTTTGAGTTTTCACGTTCAACATTTTGATCAAAATACTACCTTATCAACTCTAATATTATCAAGATTTTATCAATTTTTTTAAGTTTTAAGATGTCAATAAGCAAGGATTAAGATGTTATTTTTTAAAAAAGAATAAAGAAATTATCATACCAACTAATAGAAGAACTTTAAAAATTTTCTATTAAGATTAGTAATGTGATATATATCTTTTAAGATATAATAAAAATTTAAAAAATATGATAAATTTTTTATTCATTCATGAAATTAAAATTTAAAAAACTTATAATTAATGATTTTTTTAATTTAAGGATAACAATGTATTAAATGTAATTTTTTAAAAATAATATTTTTAACCATTCAGAATTAGTTATATAAACTGGAAATGGAAGTCTAGTAATTGGATCAAGACATTGGTGATAAGTAGTTTGATTTTAAAGTAGAACTTGCATTGTAATTGACAACAATGATGTTGATGTTGATACTATTTATAATAAAAATTTTTTTCCACTTTCTGAAAGGATTCAAAATCATAAAATTTTCGTTGAAAAGCTGTGATTTGTGAATGACGTTGATGCTTGGTTGTGTTCTTTTGGGTAGGATTTTTGGTATTGGTGTTTCGGAAATTTTGGGCGGTGGCCCCTTTTATAATCATATCTTTTAGATGTCGCTCTGTGTTCCATGTGGGCACGGTGACCATCCTCACAAAATGTTAGACACAGTCCTTTTCCTATTCATAGCCTTTTTCAGCACAAATATCTCCACATGTAATGTTTTTAAAATTTTATTAATTTTATATATTCACAATCACATATATACAAAAATTACATTTAATAATTTTAAAAATATACGGAAAAAATCATATTATTTGAGACCTCTAAAATCTTTACTAATATACAAGCAAAACTAAAATTGCCTTTTTATTAGAAAAAATTACGATTGAGAGGATTTTTAATTGGTAGAGAATTAGGTGCATTGTAGCTACGAAAGGAGGGCATTCTTTTTGCATTATTCTAAGGACAATGAAATATTTATTATGTACGCAACAAGCGTCTTCAATTTTATAAACACCTATAGTGACGAATGTGGTTGGCATTTTCTTTAACGACGGGGAATCGGCATTTTACAAGTAAAGGGTTGCTCCCAATCACCAACTTTGAGCAAATAGGCTACCATTCTTTAGAAGTTAAAGGTGCACATTCTGCCTTTTTTTATTAAATGATATTTTTAGTCTTCATTCACGTTTGTTTCATTCACGTTTGTTTTCAAAGAAAAACTAAAAGAAGAATAGAAGGAACAACACTTTTTTAAGTTTGGTAGTTGCATTTGCTATTTGCTAAAGTATATTATTATTCAATATTGAACTTGTCCTTATGGTTCAATTTAATTGAATTTTATTATAATATTTTTAATTTTTTTATTTTTAAATAAATATTTTTAATTTTGTTGATTCTCAAAATAATGAATTGAAAAGTTTTCATTAAATTTTTTTTTTTTTTTGGTATAAAGAATATGTTGTATGAAGATAATAAGTATTGGGATTTAAATTTCAAACTTAATAAATATTATCTCAATGATATAGATGAAATGAATTAAACTTGAATTCAATTTTATTGACAACCGAAAAATTTATATCAATTTCGTTATTTTTTATTCAAAATATCAACCTTGTTGAAGTAAGATATTAAAATTTAACATTAATCCAAGGTAAGTGATAAATTTAATCTTAACGAAAAGATGGTTTTCCTTTTTGGTCATTGAAATGTCATCCATGATAAGATATAGCAAAAATATTTGTCATTTAACTAATTTATGAATGAGTCATGTGACGACTACTTGTAAAAGATGAGTTTGCTTTTTATAGGCTCAACTTTTTTATTACGTTTCCAGAGTTCATGTCTTAAAATCTGCCGCTTTCCATTTTCTGACGTATAAGGATGTTTGCACTTATGGTGCAATGCCAATGTGTACAATAGCAAGGAAAAAAAAATGGTAATAATCACTACCCATTTTCACCAAAGTTTGCCAGAAAGCAAAGCAACCATGCTTTTAAAGTTAGAAATCGAGCTACTTCAACTCAACCCAGAACACAACTGAAACCATCAAAAGACAGATTTTTATGTTTTCTTTTTAAACGTTCTAATTCTAGTTTCATTATCTTTCTTGGCTTTCTAGTTGCTTTAAAAGCTGAAGTATTTGAGAAGAGATGTATATGTAGAGATGTTTCCTGATTATTGCATGAGGAGATCTGCTTGTCAGGTATGTTAAACTTAAGTTTTGTTTCATTAATGATGCTATATCAAGAAAGTACTGATTGTGAAGTGTAGAGGTAAGGAAAGGAAAGCAGGAAAAGTTCTTTGGGTTAATTTTTCTATGCATTGTTTGTATTTTGGATGCTTCTTTGAATCTACTGAAATGGTTCCTTGTTTGTTGTCTACCAATATGTTGATTGGCAACTTGGGATTTAATTAATCCTTTATTGTTTGCTTGCTTTTCTTTACATTAATTTTCTGTCTTAGCGTTTGATATATGAGAATTTCTTTTATTGAATCATTCTTGGAATTTGGTTTGTTAGCTTTCCAGTTTTCCTTATTCACGTGAATCATTGTAGATCGCTGCAAATTCTTACTATTATGTATCTTTCTGTACTGGAAAAGAATCCGAATTTCGGTTCTTGGTTTCTTGCTAATTTTATAAGATGGATCATGAATGGTCAAACTCTACTGTCAGCTAATAATTCATTCCATCCTCATGTAGTAGGCAAAGAGTTAAAAATATTCCACTTGATTTTCCTATTCTGATATTATATAATGTGAATGTTTCAAGGCTTGAGAAGCAAATTGGAAGAAAATGGGGTGCCTGCTATCTACACCAGACGTTGCAGGGGTAACCAGAAGGAGACAAAAGAATATTGGGGAAATTGTAGTTTTTGTTCCTGGACTGAGAATTCCTATGCCACTTGATTTTGCTCAGCCACTTGGTGAAGGACTATCCAAGAGTTTGGTTGAACGTCTATCAGCACTTAGAACACGTATGGTGGTCATGGCGGGTCAAGAAGCACCTATGACTACTAAGCCCAGAAGAACAGCTACACAACATGGTTTAATGACTTCTTCAGAACTTTGAGATTTTCTATGGTAATTGTTTTATGTTATTATTTAATTAAACATTGATGTTATAATGCAGGAGGTTCAACGTTGGCTGATCTGCAGCAGGCTCTTGAGGATTACTTGCCAGTTTTGTTGGGGCTAGTTGAAAATTGTATGTACATTATTAACTAGATACATGCTATGTACCATGAAAAAGAAGCATTTCTTAGATAATGATATAGTGATAAAAATGTTGAGAACGTATTGGTGTGTAGAAATGGATATTTAGTGATTCTTGTCTTATAAAAGATCCTAATTATTGCTCTATGTTCGGCTTATGTGAAAATTTAGTGAGGAAAAACAAGAAACTTTCAAGTGATATATATATATATATATATATATGATTTTCTTGTTCAAAATGACCATTTATCCAAAAAAGACTTTCATGTTCAAAATGAAATTGAACTCTACAAGCCAAATGGTCAAACTATTTATTTAAGTTACAAAAACTAATCTCTTTAGTTCTCCTTTTGAGCTTTTGGTTTGTAGCTTGGAAAAGATCTTATTTTTTGCCATGTTCTCCGTTTCAGAGTAAGTCTTTATATATCTTTTTGACTACATACAGGTAACCAGTTAAAACATAACTTGCAATTCTGTTGGATAAATCAGGAAGATGATGGGGAGGTGAATTATCAGACCTGATTCATAATTTTTATATATGAGACCCTTCAATTGCTACAATTTCCCTTTCAAAGAGTTTTTTTTATCATGCAGGAAACTACCATGTCAGATTCTTGGTATGAGTTACTATCAGTTTTGCACTTGATGGCAATTCTATCATTATCACAGGCCAATATATTGCTTCTTCGTAACACATCTGCTGATGGTTATAAATCTAAAATATTAGAAGGTGAGGCTAATTGATTCTCTCTTATTCATCTGCTGCTGTAGCCTATTCCTATTCTCTCTCAAGGTTTCCATACTCTTGGTAATAGAGGACTGGGAAAACGTGTGGCAAAAATTTGATCCATGCATTTTCAGTACTCTTTGCCGTCTAACAATATTAACTAGTACTTACATTTATCTTAATTGCCTATTCCTGTTCTGTGACATTTTTTATACAAGTGCCAACTGAACTAGTACTTGACATTTATCTTAATTGCTCTGTGAATTTTATCATTTCAGTGTAATGTATGTGAATATGCATACTGTAAAATCCCTTCTATTTATGTTACAAATATGAACAGGTGCCATGAGAGGATTTGCTAAGAATTTTAGCAAAGGTTGCATTTAGTTATCCATCGTGACTGCAGTAGACCCTTAGTTTTGTAAATGATACATGATTTTTATCAGATGTACAAATATTGACGCATACTTGTAAGGATGTCCATCCTTTTGATTTACTAGCATCAATACGCAAGGTTGCTTTAACCTATCTTTTAATGCTGACACAAGTAAGCTTCCTTAGTCTTAGACTGATTCCTGTAATAATACCATGAATAAAATCTAAACCTTGAATATATGAGACAACTGTGCAAAGTTCGCAGTAGAAATTTTCTTATAGCAGATATCCCCTGAACTTAATTTTACATTAATTCTAGTCTTTATGTTAACTTTTATCTGCAAAATTTTAGTTTCTTTTCCATCTTTGCAATGTTTCTTTTTTTTGGATAATTAATTGGGTGCCACAACCTGGGGTGGCCTTCCCTATCCCTTATTATTCACTTGAAGATCACCTTACTTTAAGGAAGGGGAAATGCCAACTGATCCTTAGGTAAATATTACCTCAGACAATGGTAAATGTCAATCTCTTTTTCTAAGTTGATAATCCTAAGGCGGCATGCAGGAACTATAAATTAGATGTTTCATTTCATTTCTTTTCCTTGCACTTGATGTCGACCTTCTCTAATAATCCAACTAAAGCTACCATTTACTTCTTTTCTATAAGAGTGCAAACGAGCATCCGTTGATATTTTATTAAAGGCAGCGGGATATCTGGATTTTGCTGTCCAGCACGTTCTACCCCAGTTACCCTTGGGACTCAGGTTAGCTCAAAAGATTTCTGCCTAGATTTCCTGATTTGAATTCTAATACCTGTTTCCTTTTCCTTATGTATCATAATACATTGAGGTCATGTTTGGTATATAGAATGATGCATAGAATAGGATGATAATCGTCTTATATTATGTTTGGCTTGTATCTAAAGAAAATGATAGGATTACAAAGAGGATTAATCATCCTCTTGGTATAGGATGATTCAATACTCTCAAAGCGAAAAGGATTATTTTTAATCTATGGAATTGAATTTACATATCCTATTATACTCTTAAAAATTACATTAATAATTTAAATTGTACAAACTTTGAGGAAGGATAATTTTGACCAATAAATAGATTATCTTATCTTAATCCTTGCATACATCAAACACAAGATAGGATGACATTATTTAATCTAATCCTATTTATAATATCATTTTATCCTATTCTATCATAATCTTGTGACCAAACACATCCTAAAAGGACTCAATGCCTGAAACTATTGTCCATTACAGGAATAATTTGCCATTAGACCTGACAGAGGGAGTGCTTAAAGCCCTTTGTTTGCAAGCATTAGGCCAGGTAATTTGTTTGTAATTGGTAAGATGATTTTCTTTTTCTTTTATTTAAAATATCTAACCATTTAGACAAAGGATATTTCATTATTTGGATCCATTGGTTGTCTTATATCTAAGTGATGGCAAATTTTACAGCAACAACATTTGAGGATATAATGTGTGGCATACTGGTACAACCCAAATTCCATGCTTGTAATTAAAGAAAATGGAGATCTATAAAATGGCTGCTCTAGACCTAGAGTCAATTCTCTAGTTGTAGTCATTACCTAGCAGTGATGAAATGTTATTTAAGTTATTGGTTAAGAGTGAAATAAAAGCATAATGGGAGCAGAGCAGAATCGCTTTCTGATGTGCAATTAGGAAATACTGAGTTGAAAAATTCTGGTAAATAGCAAATCCAACCAAGCACTGGTTTGGATAATCATTTGGGAAGTTGATTCTCGCTAAGTTTATATGCCCTGAAATCCGTGTAGAAACTGGAAACCGATTATCATGTCAAGCAAAAAGCAATTAAAGCAAACTGGAAGCATAACCTTATTGTGAAAAAATGATTTTTTAGAGACCTTTGGATGGTATTTTGACCAAGTCATATATTTACATTTAGACTGAAGGATGAATAACATACAACTTAAACGTGTTGAATAGATACGTCTTGGAGGCTTAGTTCAGTCAGAATTGTATACAATAGAACTTACTTCCTAGCTAAAATTATTTGCCTCCACATCATGCACTTCTTTGGTTCTTTCTCTTTTAATTAGTTTCCTGCCTTCTGCTGCCTCTTATTTCCAAATATTTACAGGGTGTTGAGATTCAACTGGGAATGGCAATTGATAGTATTAAGGCCACCCTGGCAGTGAAAAGGAGGCTAGCATGTGAGATGGTTAAATACTGGCATCAGGTAAATTTATCATTCATTGCATGCAAGCAGTTGGCTTTCGTTTCTTTTTTATCTTTCCTTTCTTTTGTGTGTGTTCTCTGTTTTTTTGTGTATTTTTCCATCAAAATTAAATGAAAATTATCTGATTCGAATTATATATTTTTATTCTTTGTCATTAGTTTTCTCATCAATTTAATGGAAGCTTAATTTTGTTGGCCTTTGAATGGTTTAATCTTTTCATTTTTTTATTGTATGTTACTTAATAGCAACTGATGTTCAGCTACTTATAGTAATACCTTGAGAAAATGATGCAAACTAAAAGCCTGAAAGTTTAAAATACCATGTTTTTGGTTTCATCCTCTCGTGCAAGTATATTACTAGTAAAAAATCAGTGAGCTGAAACATTGATTTTATTTTTTGGCCAAAAAAAAAGCACTGATGCTATTTATTCAGATGCAATGGAATTTACCTTTTTCATTGATGGAATCTGATGCTACACCATTATGATATCTCGTTTTGCACTTTTTAACCTTCACATTGGCTCTTGATAATTTTAAATGCCTTGTAGTCATTTACTGTCTTCTATTTGTCTGCGATTGGTGATGTCTTTTGTTTCATTTTATTTCTCATTGATATAAATATATTTATATATATATATATATATATTTATGTTTCATTTGTCTTTGACAGTTTCTGCTTATACATATAATGCAGGCTCAGGAGTACATAATGGACCTTCCACTAGCAAATGGATGGGGAGAAAAGCACAAGCTTTTTATTCAGTGGAAGCATGTTGAAGCTAAGGTATAAATCTCCATAACACCCGAGGCCACTACTCTCACTGCTTACTTTTGCAGTGAAAGTAGAGAAACAAGTGCTTGATGTGTTGGGGATTTGAACATGCAAGCATCTCTTGAGGAGCTAGTAGTTCATCAACATCTATCTGATCTCCTTGGTGGAGGTCTATAGCTGGTTCCTGGGGAGGATGTACATGTAGAATTTAGGTTTCTTCTGAGAGAATATCTCTTTACCAAAGTTTATTGGTTTCAGTCTGCAAGGAGCTTGAGTGGGTTTTGATTTCTGCAACTTGACTATTCTCTCTAGCTCAAATCCAGTCTTAGAGTCCATATGTGATATACATTTATGGAGACCAAAGCACTCAATAAATGCTAGTCCCTTCCACATTTTCATGTGAAATGCCTAATTTCTCTGTTCAAAACACTTGTCTGACTAACATGTTTGGATGAAGAAAGCTGTTTGTCTCTCGCATAGAAGAAAATTATTTCAGTCTCTTATTGTACTGGTTGATATAGAACACTGACTCACCTTTTGGTCCTCTTGATGGTAGACTTTAGTATCTAAGCATGAACATGACATATCCTTTTGTTCCAGGCTATTGCATACTATCTTCATGGATTAATCCTTGAAGAGGGAAACACATCTGCTGAGATTGCAGCAGCTGCTCTACAAGCAGCAGAAGAGTATCTCAAAGAAAGCAGAAAGGCTTGTGAATCCTTCCACATGACACTTCCTGCATCACGGTAGTTTACTTCTGACCTCTCTCTGTGTATAACTAAATGAATGGATGGATGTGTACAGAACAACCATTTCATTATCCAGTTTCTTTGATATAATTTCATTGCTTAAAAACGAGTTCTTGTCCTGAATCTTTTCCTTGAAGTTCCCTTACAATCAAAATGGTTCATTTAAGTAACCAGTTGGTTGCTATGAATGGATATGAGGAGATATGGACATGTAAAATGCGTTTACATTAGAACTAGAGCGTGTAGTATATTAGTGCTGCAGCCCCCTCCCCCTTCAAAAGTAAAGGAAAAAACCAAAAAGCCAAAAGATTAAAATGTAAAAACAGAATAGTACAGCTTGTTTGAGGGCCTGAATTGGTTTGGAGAGTAGATTGTATAGTGTTTATTGATTTATTTTATCCCAGATTTCACCTAGTCGATAGATGGCACACCCTACTGCAAATGGTGAAGGAGTTTTACTGTTGTGATTTTTTTATTTGTTTTTTAGATGCTTCTTGCATTCATCTTCACTTAAACATTACCAGTTATATTTTGGTCCAGTAATCCTCCTCTCTGGGGAGCTAGCAAGTATCTTGCTGAGAGGATTCCAAAAGATATATCAAGCAAAACAATCAATTGGGACTCACAAAAACATGAAATGTAAGTTGCTATATTTTGCTTTTTTTTTTTTTTTTTTTCAATTTCCTTTCCTTTTTCAACTGTCTAAAAAGATGATGTGATATAAATTCACGTAAGAAAACATAGTCAAGAAAAGCAAGTTACTAAACACAACATTACCTATTTCTGGTTGACCCTCTTTTTCTATTCTTTGCCATGACTAGGTTAAAAATCTATGGTATGTGAAATATAATTTACTTATTTTGTCAGAATTTGATTTCCAGGATTATGCAGTTGGCTCCAGCATTGCCAGACTTTGTTTTGTCCTTAAAACCTGATGAGTATCAGCTTCCTTCAATGGATCCCTCATGGAATGATTTACAAGTTCAAAATTTGTTTCCTACCAAGTGAAGCCTCAAAAAACATTAGATGTGTGTCAAATATTGAAAAAACAAGTGTAAAACATCTCAAGGATCTTATGAAAGCTGTTGAATGTTTCCAATGTTTATTTATGATGGTTACCTTTTCTTTTCTCATTTGTGCTTTGAACATATTTATATATACTTATGTATAAGAAGGTTTTGTGCCTTCTTTTGTTGACAGTGGTAATTTTAAAATTACTTCAACTTTTTTTTTTTTATTTTTAAATATTTAAAATATAAAAATAAAATTATACTTTTATTATCTATACATTATATAAAAATTGAGGTTGATGAACGTTAATTTTTTGGGAGAGGTTCCATTTGCACCTAAAGAAATGCCCTTTGCACCTTCTTATTAATTACACTCCACATTCAAGAGTTTAAAATTAATTTTTACTCATTACCCTCATAACCCCTAAGCCTTATTTTTCTTAAACATCCTCACACCATTTTCCTCTCAAAAACTGATTCATCCTAATCTCTGATACAATAAACCCCAAAAATTAATCTAAAATCATTAAGCTCTGGAGTTAATCATATCACTAAACTTCAATTTTTAATTTTGTAAAATTTTTGCATTTTGGAAAACTTACAAAAATATCTTGAAATATAAATCTGGAAATTTTTAAAAACTACTAAAAATGCAAATATGAAAGCTTTTAAGAAATGAAAATAAAATTTTCTGAAATGTAAATCTAAAAGTTTTTAAAAATTAAAAAAAAAAATACAAATACGAAAACTTGAAGAGAGGAAATAAAAATGAGTGTATAAAAGGCTAAATGATTATTTATCAAAGATTAATTAAATAATTTTATTTGAAGTATTTATAATAAAAAAAATTAAGGAGTGAAGAGAGTTTTAGGGTTAAAATAGAAGCTCTTTTTTTGTTTTTATGTTGAAATTTGATATTTTTGGAGTTATTTATGTGCTTTTTTTTAAAGATCGATAATGATTGTTAAATTAAAAAAAATTAAGTTTATTGGGTTTTAAAGTCGATTTGGATGGACTATGCAATGGGCTTAAAAGTATATTTGGATCCTGTTTAACAATAGCAAGGTGTGGTAGTGGGTCCAATTGCACTAACTTATATATGTTGTTTGAGTAACAAGGATGTGGCTTGTTGTAATTATCACTGTGCTACATCCAATTTGTGGTTGGACCTATGAGGATACCGTGGATAAGGATAACCCCAACCGCAACTTCTCCCTTTCCTTTTTTTTTTTTTTTTAAATAATTTTATTTTATCAATTTCATATTGCTTTGTTTAAGAATTTTTTAATTATTCATTTATTTAAAGTGATAAGTAAATTTATATAATTACATAATACTTAAGAACATAACAAAAATTTTGAATAAATATGTAAATAAATATATTTATACATAGAATTAATTATATAAATAAATAGCTATCAATACTTATATCAACATAAAAATGAAATACATAAGAATATAAATATATTTATACAAATTTTAATATAATATCCTAATTTTTTTATTATTACATTTTATTTTTGCTATCCAAATACATTTATTATCGTTGTTTTCAATTTTATCATCTATCTAAATTGGTAATAAACACAATAATGATGTCACGATTTATTATTTTAATACTGAAATTAAGAATTATAATCATGTGATTAAAATTAATAATAGGATACAAATTTAAATAACAAGACGATGATGATGGTGAGGAAAAAATAAAAAAACTATCATTAAGGACATAAATCTAAAAATGAATTAATAAATTATTTTCATGCATGTTAATTTTATTTAACATATAATAATAATAATAACAATAATAATAATAATAATTAAAGGATACTCTAGAGAATATGTTAACTACTTAAAGGTGCAATTAGACAAAAAAAAAATTAATAATGTGAGTAGAAATAGAATGTTATTTTATAAATTCATCTAAGATTATTTTAGTTTTATAAATTTCTAAACATAAGGATAAAACAATGGTAACAGAATTTACAAGTACTTATCTAAGTACATTCAAATGAGAAGAAAAGCAATCTTAAATTTACTAATTGTATAATTTTAATTTAATAGTAATAAAATTTAAAATGAGAATAAAATTTTAAAGTACAAAATATTTCTTAAATGATCCATACTACCGGCCAAGAGGCTAAGTATATTGCGGTCATCAACTTTCCTTCGTTGTTTTTTTTTTTCCTCAGTCCCGCTTGTTCTTTCCGTGTCGACAAAGCACGCAACCCTCTCATTCTTGTGAATCGGAGGATCCAGTTAAATTTTTATGATTTTTGTTTTTATATCATATAAAATATTTAAATTTTATTTTATATTAAAAATTGTGTCAAAATTATATATCAATATATTTTTTATTTTATTAAATTTATTTATAATTATTATTAAAATTTTAAACTATATTTAATTACCAATCTTGACATTTAATTTTAAGGAGATCAAAATAATATTTTATAATAATTTTTTAAAATTATCAAATTTATTAGTAATACAAAAATAAATATAAACATATAATAACAAAACTTACAATTATAAGTATATTAATATATAAATATATACAACAAAATAAATATATTAAATAATTAGTTTTATGATTTCTAACTATAAATCACTAGTAATATTTTTTATAAAAATAAAATCATTATATTTTTTTACAATATTAATACATTATTTTATCATATTTAATATTTAAAATATTAAAGTGAAAAAAAATCACAAAATATATTTTTTAAATAAAAAATTAAATTTCAAAACAACAAAGTAAAAACTTTGATATGATAGATTAAAACTTTCTAATTTTTTATGTAATATTTTATATTATAAAAAAATAAAAATATATTTAAATTAATCATATTAATTATTTTGACATGTAATAATTTTTAAATAAAATGAGCATGCATATAGTAAAAAATTAATTGAAAAAAACATTGAATATTTGTTAAATCAGTTTTAATTATTATAATACTTGCACATATATTAAATTTGAATTTGCATGTTTGTGAAAATATAATGTTGATAAATTTATTCATTTTATTTAAAAATAATTTATAATAAGTAAACACAAATTAAAGAATTGTATTTTTCTTTAAATTAAGAGTTATAATATTTAGATACAAATAATTTTTTTAATTGTATATCCAATATAAATATGTAAAATAAAAATAATGTTTATCAACACAATAAACTTAAGTTTAAGGGGGGCTAAATTAATTTAAAAAAAATTTTAAAATTATTATAAATATCACATATGTATAAAAAATTTTTCAAAATTTTGGAGGTCCTTAAAGGATCTGTCATCACTAACTATTCAACGGCGGATTCTGGAACCATTTTAAGTTTTCTTCAACTGAGTGAAGAAGAAAAGATCTTGAACAGGACGTTGAAGATCGGCCCCGGAAGTAAAAATCCCAGATTTCCTATGCTTCTTTATCTCCATACAAGTCGCATTCCTGGATTATGTGACCAAGATTCGGCGTCTTGCCGCCGATGACTCTGCCGTAGAGAAAGCCCCACTAACAGGGCATTTTAACTGGGAACAGCAGCAATAATATTGTCCTCCATTATCATCTGGTTGTTCTTGAGGGATTATGGCAAAGATAGGATTCGGCGGAAACATAAACTTATTTTGTTGCGAGAGAAAAAGAACTTGAGTGGTTTTATTCTTAGGAGATGAAAAAGAGAGATGATATAGCCATATATAAATATTTACGGGAGGGAATCAATTTATTTCAAAAAGTTTTATATTTTTTAATTATTAATTTTAATAAATTTAAAGATGAGATTAATTTGTTTTTTATTTTTGATTTATTGAAATAAATGATTAAAAAAAATAAAATTTTTATTTTTAATTTTAATTAACCTAAAAAATAAAAGAGATAAGTTAAAAAATTAATTTAATTTTCTCTCTCAAATTTATTAAAATTAATAATTTAAAAAAGATATAAAATTAAAAATTTTACATTTATAAATTGAGCAGTAGTGAACTCCGTACTTAGGACTTCGGGGGAGCCCCTTCGCTTCTCAATCCTTTGATAATCATTATCATTTTATCATACTATTTTTTTAAAACTAAAGGGAAATTTTCAGTCTGGCCCCCCCGTTTAGAAATTTTTGTAACTAATGTGTAAACTTTACAATTCGCTTACAATTTTTACTTGTAAATTTTATTAAAATATGAAATTTCTTTTACTTTCTTTTTATATAGGCATTGTTAAACTTTATTTTTAACGCTTTAAATTATAAATTTATCTTCTCAATTAATCAATAATAATCGACATATTAATTAAGAAAAAATTAGTTACTATATATTATTTAGGAGTGTAAAAGAATAAAGCATGAACAAATATGATTATGATTGGGATTTATTCATTTAAATAATGAAATATAAAATGTTGTTGGTAATAATTTGTTAAGCTTAATAAATAAACATAAATGAATAAAAACTAAGCATATTTATGAACTGTTCATTGAATGTTTTCTTAGGTTTCACAAATGAATTAAATATGAATGAATTTTATTACATTTGTGATTTATTTATTTAAATAATAAATTTTAAAATATTATTTGTGATTATGTGTTAAACTTAATAAATGAATATAAATTGAACATATTCATAAATTATTAGTTAGATGTTCTGTTCATTTATACTTATATATTGTCTTCGTTTCAAATTCTTTGATCATCTTTGACTTTCACAAAAGCTTTGACTTATGTATTTAAGAGTAAATTTTAAATTTTTTATAAAATTAATGTTCCATAATGTAGTTTTTTTAAACAAAATTGTCAATTAGACCTTAATTTTATATATGTGATGTGAATTATAATGTTTAAATATATAATTTTCACTTATCAAAATTTTACACGCCCTATGCAATTGCTTTGCTATTTTATATGAATTGGGGATAAACTTTTTGTGTATATTTTATATTTTTATCAAATTAACTAGTTCTAAATTTTACTTATGTTTTAATTACATCAGATATATATTAAGCACCCAAAGTTGAAATCATAGCTTCTCCCCTACTAACATACAATGCTTATAAACACAATAACGATGAATTGAAAATAACACTATAAGCAAACAATGGGATTGATTATAAATATTCAACACTGATTCAAATTCAGAAGCAATATCAAATATATGTGCACACTTCCATTGCACAAATATCTTTCAACACCATCTCATAATGTTATAACTTCCCTCCTAATTCCTATCTTAGAAAGTTGGTTTTAATTTTTAACCCAGACTACAACATCAAATGTGGCAGAATCTGCAAGCCAAACATGGATTAGGTAACTGACATCACCTCTCTGACATGCAGCAGTTTGTCAGTTCAGCGCAGAACCAGAGGTGGGAATCATATTCAGAGCTTTCAGTATAAAAGCATATGTCAAGGCATCATCTTGAAGCCTCTCAAATCTGCATTCAACACAACATATTGTAACTTCTACTACTTCTATAAAGAGATTGTATGTGTGTGATCCAAAAAGGAAAATAATGCAGCACCCTCAGGCATATTTCTTCTACCCAAAGTTAAAACATTCACATATGTGACAATAGCAAACCATAATTATGATTCAGTTTCATGTAATATTTGAGGTTTTAGCTACCTTTTGTGCACTTAACCTACACTTAAAGCTTATGTAAACAGAATATAAAGCAGTAATATAGACAATACTTAACAATGAAATATTCAAAATGGCTTTTAGCAAAACTAGAAAAGAGAACTACCTTCCAGACTTTGAAAAATGGCCAGCACCAAGTTCACATTTAAACAACAGCATGTTGTCATCCGTTTTCATATCCCTTAGTTTAGCAACAAACTTTGCAGCTTCTGAGTACATTACTCGTGAATCTGTCACGATATGTTAGAAAGATTAAATTGCAGCAAATGGAGAATGCTATATTTCTCCTCCCAACTTTTCCAAATATAATCCAAAAGAACAGAATTTATCAACTCTACCATGCAATCCCCCCAGTCAGATGCCTCAAAAATTACAAATTAGGCAACACGTTATGGAGTAATTAGCTTAAATATATAAGTGCTTAAGTTGCGTAAATATATAGACAACATTTATAGTTTGAACATCTAATTTACTTAAACAAACAACTTCATCAAAATTTGAAATTCACTTGACATGTAGGCAATGAACCTGCAACATCAAATGCATCTTTTAAAAGTCAAGTCACATTTAGCCACAGTTGGAGATAAATAACAACTCACAAAGGTCAGTTTCTCAACACAATAAATAATCTAAATCTCACACATGATCAATTATTGGACAAGTTTTAACTACAGGGAAGAGAACTGAAGAAAGCATCACATACATGATCCTTAAAGGGTTCACGAGTTTTAAAATAGACAAGATCCTTAAGAGGTGCGAAAAAAGTTGTGCCTTGTATATGTGGATTACTATGAGAGATGCCTAGATTTTTTCCAGCAAATTCCATGCCTCCAAGGAGCCTAATTGTTCATAGATAAAGATGTAAAAAGAAGCTCTAGCAAGCACCTCTAAAACACTACAATCATTGCATTACAATTAACCAATCAAATATTTTAGGACTGATACTATTAGGGTGGTTCTCATTCCTAAACACTTATCAACCCGCCCCGAACCAAACATAGATATATATTACTATGACCAACATCTATGCAACATTTGTACCAAAAAACAATCTATGCAACATCATTCATCCAAAGAAAAAACATCTATACAAGATCGTTATTATGTTTTAGAAAAAAAAAAAAAAGTTCTACCCAAAGTTTTTCAATGTCATCATTTCTTGTCTTTGTCTTCTTGACATCAAAACTTAGGTTCATCATCTATACTTTCAATTTCTGCCATTGAAAAACACCCCAAATTAAAAAAAAAAAATTTTGCCTCACCTATTATCATTTATACATCCACTCCAATATCTGTGTAAGAACTAAGAACTGAGATATTTTCATTTTATTTTTCTCGTTATTATATATTTTTTTAAGATCTTGTTTTTAATTCTTGGATTATATTTTGAATTTATATGTAATTTAAATAATTTAGCGCATTTATATATATAATTTCAGTGAATTAGAAACATGTTAATTAAAGAAAAGATTGTGATTCCAATGATTAAGTTGATTAAGGATGAAGCTACAAAAATGGATCTTCATAAACAAGGTAACAAATATAAAGCAAGAGATTATAACACTAGAAGAATAAATTAAAAAATTTGATCAAGATTATTGCAGATATATTCTTGCTAAGATCATTATTGTGGATGAACAGCCTTTTTCCATAGTAGAGCATGAAGGTTTTAAGGATTTTGTTAGCGAACTGCAGCCTATTTTTTATGTAACTTTTGATTTTCATTTCATTTTGTTTACAGATATGATCAATATTATCATTGATGCTGGATCTATGGCATTTGATAAAATAATGATTGACCCAAATTCATAGGTACGAAAATCATCTTTAATTTAGTATATAATTTAGTTTTTTAATCATTTTTTATTATGTTATTAATATTGTTGATTTATTTTTGTTTATACAGATCAATAAAAATATGTACTACAAGTATAATGTTTGAACTTAAGATTTTTTAAAAATAAATGTGGATGATTGCAGTTTGAATTTTGTAATAGTTAATTGTAATAGGCATTATAATATGATTCATGAATTTAGCTTATGTGATTTTAATTTTATTTAATTACATTAAAAGATTATTATCTAAATGCATATTTAAAAAGCATAAAATTTAGGAGCGATCTTGGACTGCACTGGATCGACCCTGCTTGGGTGGTTTCAGTCCTAAAAGATTATGGACTGGCCCATGGTCCAAAATTTTTAGGGCAGACCCTATATGGGTGGTCTGTGATCCTAGCTTCAGGACTGCCCACCCAGACCATGCACACCCTTAATTGTAGGATTGTAGTGAAAAGAATTAGAGATGAAATGCAGCCCTAAAACGTTACTATCACTTAACAACTTCAATCCAAAGCACTTCAATCATAGACGTGAAGTTCTAATAGCTTCTTACTTACTCTAAGATATTTCCAATGGTAGCATTTAATATGTAGAATTATCAATTAGCAAAGACAAGCAATCAACACCCTTGCTTTCAACCAATTAATATGATGGAAACTATGAGTAACACATAACAATGAGAATACCAAAATCGTGTTTTTAAAAACATTTTTACTTACCATGTAAACCAGCTGTCACAAGAATATTAGGATAGTTTTGGGCCTTCAACTGCAAAATAAAAAATATATTAGAGCATAAATATAACAAGTAATTTTACATGATAAATATTCAGCATTCCATAAGCATGTTTGAATAAGAAACTGTTAGCTATTCTAGATAACAACAGTCACAAATGCCAGGAAAAACAGCAATATTACAGTCTTACATTATCAACAGGTGAATATGATTTCAAATAGAAATAAAACTCTTCCTTCCGAGGGTCACCCCATTCCTGTTGTAAACCAAAATAGAGACAGAAAGAACATGGTTAGCTTTTCACTAGTTGGACTAAATGATATAGTTTTCAAAAAATAAGGCTTATGGGATATTCAATAAAAATAATTGAATTTCAGGGTGGATGACTGGATCCTACAAAAAATGAAAACAAGAAAAAATGCCATATATTAATTTAAGGACAAATTTATCAGCCCGATAAGTTAAAAGCATTATTAGGTCATTGACTATTATTGCTAATAGAGTTCTTGCATTTTATATAGGGCAGATTTGCATTGACAAGCTATACAACACAGACGCATACCATTTACAAAAATCAAATTACAACACTGGGATTACTTAAACTAGTTAAAAGTTCATCAGAATATTCACTCAGCAACTAGTCTCCATGATCATGGTATTAGATTTTAGCATCAAAATCAATCCCCATAAAGAGTCTGCCAAGCAGAGAATGCAATTGCAATGCAGCAGCCGCCTCATGTACCAGATTGTTCAATGGTAATGCAAAAGAAAAGTAAAATGAAAATCTTTAAGGAGAAAGATAATACCTCCCACTCTGAAGTTGTAAGAGGGATAGTAGGGTCAAGCATTGTAGTCAGGACATCTACAAAAGGCACTCCAGCAACAGCGGCCTTGAACAAATCAGGCCTCATGTTAAGAACAGCACCAATAAGCAATCCGCCAGCACTTCTTCCTTCAATGCACAATTTTTCCTTTGAACAATACTTCTTTTCAATTAAAAACTCAGCACAAGCAATAAAATCTGTGAAGGTATTTTTCTTCTTTAAAAACTTCCCATTCTCATACCACTGCCTCCCCATTTCACCACCTCCACGAATATGAGCTATTGCAAAGACAAACCCACGATCTAAAAGAGACAGCCTCGATGCCTTAAAGTCAGGATCTACACATACCTGCTAACAGACAAGGAACACTAAGTCACAAGACTGAAAAAATAATAATTATATACAACAAAACTTGTGCGCATTCAACTAAAAAGATACACCAAACTGATGCAGCAGATAACTGTACAAATGTGAAAGTCATTGTTGCAACAGTTAGTTGAAAGACCAAACTGGATGAATATAAACCAGAAAAGTGACCCTTTTAAAGATCATTCAACTTTCTGAATACAAAATTTTAAGAAACTAAAGGAAGACTGGAGGGGGGGGGGGGGGAGGATGCCCCTAGAAGTGAAACAAGAATGAACAAGTTTTAGAGTTCAAATCCAGAAAAGGCTAGAAAAACCAGGGACCAAACCCTATCGTGTACAACCAAGGAAGACTATACAAGCAAAAAAATTGTTTTTTATGCTAAACATTAAGATTAACTTCCTCTTTAATTCAATATGATCTAAGCAAAGCAAACCAAAATCTATGACAAAATAGAAGCAGCATAACTCGAACTGGCGATTAGGCACCTCTCACAAGAATTTATCCCACTGACTGCATTGTTACCTCATATGAACCATAGCCGTAAAGCAACATTGGATCAGATCCATCAAGCTTGACAAGATTCTTTTGGTACACAATTGATATAGGAATCTGAGTGCCATCTGAAGCAGCAGCCCATTTCCTTTCAGTGACATAATTAGATGCATCAAAACCTCCCAAAACCTGAATAAGAGATAATGTACAAAATTAATCCAGGATGATAATAAACACACAGGACCAAAATAAAATTTCATACACCTCTTTTTATTCTTGACCAGTGAAAAATGAAACATTGTTTCTGGAGGGAGAATGAGTTCTTTTACAAAATATGATCAATACCATTTTAAGAACAGATCAAGACACTAAAAACTAATTTTTTTTTTTTTTAAACTTCACAAGAAAAGGGAAGGATATTGCCAGAAGAAGCAGAAAACTGTCAATATTAAGGACCCAAGCAAAAAGGTCAGAAAGAGAAAAAGTCACAAATCATAACTACTACTGTTCTGAAATGTTGGAAATAATAAAGTGAAACTTTTACCATATTAGAGCATCAAGAACACTATTTATGATCTTGGCAAGTCCATGTTGAAGTTTAAATCAGTAGAGACAACCAAAGTCAATTGAATTGAATGCAGTGCGTTAACTATGAGGCCAAAATTATGAGAGAACAGCATAATAGCTTTCAATCCCAAATCCTTCTTCAAAAAAATGTCACAATACAATATAGAAGGCATTACTGAATGAGATAAATCCCACTTAAGGACTCTTTGTAATACATTCAAAGACCAAATCTAGAAAACAAAGAATATTCCAACATGGAGGTAGGAAAAACAAACAACAGATAGCAAAGCAGCAGATACTCAAGGAGAAACTTAGGTAAAGATAACTACACCTGTGATATCCTTGTAATAAGATCTTGCCTTGTCAAGTAACATATTGCACATAACACTAGTTTTACTATTTCAGATCCTTTATTTACACTATGCTTTATCAACTCATTTCTTATTATAGCTCAGATGTTAACAATCAGTAGTGCTTACAGTTTCAATCTTCTTCAAAACAGACTCCCCAGTAATCATGTCATAGTCATAGACAGATGGAGGCGTCCTCAATGAGCTATAAGAAAACCGTAAAATGGTGGATGAAAATTGCGATTCTGATGGATCAACTGAGTATACAGGGTCAATAAATTGAACTGCCTGAGCACCTTGAAGGCTTGTGAGTGGCTCTTCAATTGCTGGGAGGCGGTAAATAGAAATTTTGGGCAAACCTTGTTCACGTTCATAGACAACAAGATGATCACTAAAAAGTTGAATATCCTGAATCTTTACACTGAAGAAGAAAATATAAAATGGTAAGCTGTAAGCCAAAGCAAGGCATATCATTTCAGACATGGAAAGCACCAAAGCTATGACACCATGAGGGCCATTCCAAACTCCCACCACCACCCCCGTAAGAAAAAATGAACACAAACAAATTAAAAGTTTCCAAAATTGTCAGTAAACTAAATGAATCACCAAATAACATGGAAGTAATAAATCAACATTTCCACGTCCTGGAAGTAGCATGTAATTATCCACAACTGCAAAATGCAATAACAACATAAACTATACAATCTGACACCCAACCAAGCAGACAATTTTCAGTTAAATTTTAACTCTTTCTTTCACTGGCTATGATTAAAATAACCACAGTTGTGGACAGATAATGTCAATTGTTAAAGCACTAGCTCCTTGTAAATAAATCATATGAATCATTGGATGATTATCCATAATTTCTTGCAAAAGCAGCCATCAGAGAACTAACAATAATCCAATACCGAAAAAGAAATAATTAAGCAGAAATGAATTGCAAGTGATGTTATCTAAAACTAAGGACATGCAAGGTGTTATGTAGGTTTGAAATAGTATAATATCATTTAAAAAACAAGCTAGGTAATTGCTGAAGCACAAATATTCACCAAGAAATGTGTTCCTATGTTGAAGCAGTTATAAATTTGTAAGATCAACATAATCCAAAACAACCCCCCGTCCCCAAATCATTACTAAGATATTCTAAATAAAAAAGAAGCCAGCATGTCCTAACAAAAATCAAGAGCCACATATATGAGGAATTGATGCAGGTCATTGTATACGGAAAACTTTAGAATTTGTTACGACCTTGCCCTGTGAGGAATAAGAATTGTTGTAGCAGACGTATTATCCACTGGACAAGCTAGTAGTTCTGAATTGAAAAACTCATCACTTCTCCGCTGGATAAAAAAGTGATTTCCACGATGACTGACTGAGGTATCAATGCCATTTATACGAGGTGTCAAAACCCTAAGCCCATCTTCCGGCTTGGAAACCTCAAGATAGAAGACAAACCTTGTAATTTTGCTTTCAGATGCGATAAACAAAAATTTCTCACTCTCAGAAGCTTGAAGATCAAGGGAAAACATATCATCTTTCTCATGATAAAGGCATGAATCATTGGATTGGTCTGACCCCAACTTATGTAACCATACCTGTCATTACAAATAAAAGCAAATGCAGGTTAATGTAGTTCTGCCTCAGAAAATGACAAAATGAAAGGCTTTATTTTTAGATTAAACTGAATTTTCCTGTTACCAGCCAACACTGCTGTCAAGAAGCTAAACATAACAAGAATATGAATCTATCTGGAATTGAAGATGGCACATTATCTTGATGTCTAAGTACTAATATTTCACGCAACTGTAATTTACTTTTAGAACCTAGAAGGAAGCTGGAAAGATCTCATTAATATTACATTTAAACACATAAAATCCCAGAAAAAAGGTATATATGAATAAAAAACTACATGGTACAATCCTGTATTAAGGCACTTGATACAGGGATATCAAATTGACATATCCAGAAAAGTTTGCTCTCCATCATGTAGTGAAGAGAACCACCATTTGAAACTCAAAACACTCAAGTCATCAGTCTAGAAGAACTAAGAAAATAAAACAGATTGCCTATATTTAGGTTTTCTGATGAAGTGATCAGAGGAAAGACAGAAATTTTAAAACAGTTCATTAACATCAAAGAATATGTAGAAAAGTCTCAGATAGGAACTGGACATGTAGTGCAAAATTAAATTAATCTCTAACTGCTATATGGTCATAATATGTTTATGGCCATTTTCTCCCCGTAATGATATGATACAGAAATGGGTAACGGTACTGGTATAGAAACTACAGGACTAGAAGGCTTGAGTTAAAACATTAAGAAGCAAGGGAAACAAAAAAAAAAAGGACTGTTGTCCTCAATAGGAACTGAATAAGTCCTAAACTTTAAGGCATGGAAACTGGAAACACATACCTTATCTGGCCGAAGGATCTCATCCATGGTAATGTAAACTAAAGCTTCGTTACCAGCCCATTGAAGATATGACGTTACACCTACTAATGGCTTCCCTACCGGAGCTCGAGTCTCAGCATCAATCACATAGACGGTATAAATTTCATCTCCTTTAGTGTCTTCAGCGTATGCAACCAATTTATGATTTGGACTGACCTGAACAACAAAGTGCAGAAAGAGACCTCAAATAAAAAATGAACCTTTATAAAAGGAAAGTGTGCATTCAAAACAAGTTAACAATATAAAGTTGATCATATCCGACCTTAAAAGCACCAATTCTGTAAAAATCATATTCTTGAGCCTTAACATTCTCATCCAATATTACATGCTCGGGCGGAGCATCAGGGCCTGTAGGCATAGTGTCGTGAACAGAAGGTGGAGCATCATGATTAGGAATGGGACGCCTGCAATACTGAACATACTCCTTCCCTTCCAATGTCCTTGCGTAATAATAATACGGCCCTTTTCGCAAAGGTGCAGATATATCATCCTCTTTTATTCGCCCTCTTATCTCAGCATATATTTCATCTTCAAATTTCTTGGTCCCTACATCAGGATTCATACATTCAATAAAATACTAGCAAAATGGAAGACTAATTTCAGCAGCCAAACAAAGCGAATGCAACTCAATATAGTTTCACAGATCCAAACAGGAGCAAAGTAGCTTTTAACATTTCCGAGAAACAAACAGAAGGTATAAATACCGGACATGATGGCCTCGGTATAGGCGTTTTCTTGTTGAAGATAAGAGATGACTTGAGGGTTCTTGCGGGAATCATCGCGAAGCCAGTAGTAATTGTCAACTCTAACATCCCCGAACAACTCCATCTTGTGCTTCACCTTCTTGGCCAACGGCGGAGACGGAGGCTGAGACTGAGAGCTCATGGCGGCTATTGATTGGCCTGAGGGGGAGATCGAGATCTTGGGATGAACGGCGATGATGCGATTAGCAGTGGAAAAAAGCAGCAGTGGAAGATACAAAATTCCGCCTATGTATAAACGTCTAGGAAAAGGTTGTCGATACATCTACTTTAGAGTTGTTTTTTATACAGTGTTACCAATCATTGGAATTCGTGCTTTGCTTATATTTTTTCTTTCCCTTTTTTTTTTTTTTTTTTGTGAAAATTACATGCTAATGTTATCTTTTAACTAGCATTCTGCGTTATCAGATTGTAATCCTGTAGGAACCAATCACATTACCGCTAGATCACATTAAGGGAACATATCCCACGATTGGTCTGCTGATTTGCCTAGAAAACTGGAGCACCCATGGGACTTCTTCAGTTCCAGACACCTAACAGTCTATCAGGTCCAGTTCCAGTTCCAGATACCTAACAGACTAACATTAGAAAGAATGACAGAAATGTACTTGTCTTCCCCCAAACATGTCTGGTTTTTATTCATTTCAATCTTCAACAATTGGATTTGGAACCACCACAATCAAGTTCAGGAATCCAAGTAGCAGACAGGATTAATCGGCTACCATTTAAGTAGAACGAAAGATAAGGAAACAATAATTTTAGAACTAGAAGAAGCAGTATACAAAAATGAACCAAATACACATCTCAGGAATTCAAGGCAGACATTAACTAACATCAAGAAATATGTATTAATAGAGACCGTATGGTAATGAAGACGGATATTTAAAGGAAAACCCATGTTGCAACATGCAGCAACCTTGAGACATGACCCACTAATTATACTCAGAAGCAGCTTGGACCAGACAAAATTTCCATGACAGGTCCATCTGCAAACATTGTATCAAGGCTTCCTCGTTGCACCTCCTTTAAACAGCCAAATGTTTGGATGATTCTACAAGTACTTCGGTATTTTTCTCCCTTTCATTACAAGAAATATGGAACTCCTGTTCTGGGCCCTCTCATCTGATTATTCTCTTCTGTTTCAGTGAAGAACTTCACTTCTCTCTCCTGAAGTAATGCCATAAGCAATAAGCATCATGAATAGCATTGCTTTGGGGATTAGATTACATTTATTATGAATACAACTTATGGCCCAAAAAAAAAATAACTGGAAATAACCTGCAATCCTAATTAAATTTGATATTGAAGGTAGACCAAGTTCTTTACTACACCCACCCACCCACCAACACACACACACAAAGCAAATTCCTTTTACCATATTCTCATTGAAGCTCAGTATAGAAGCTACATTCCCACATCGATAACAATAATTCGGTGCAGACCACACCTGCAAATATCAATAATCAAGAAATTCCGTTAAGCTCTTAATAACATTAAGCTAAAACGATGAAAACAGCAAGTCTAGTGTTTCTCACTGTTACTAGGCCTTTATCTTGAAACATATACTTAAGACCTTCTTGCACAAGTTGGTGAGCTCGACAAACAAGACCAAGATTATTTATGTGGTTGAACTGCAACAGATGAAAAAGTTAACATTTTTAAGCATGACAACATGATTATAGACTGAGATGAGATCAATTACCTCAGATGTGACCCTGGACCCAAATAGCCAACCTGCGCCACGTGGACTGACTGCCCATGTTTCGATATCTTCAGGGTCACTCCACATGAGATCACAGAATGGGCCTTCATGAGGGATCTCACAGTTCCGCTCAATTACTCTTATCTGGCATAAAAGCAGAGAAAAGAAATGTGTATCAACAACATGTAATGAAATAATGAAACGAACAAACAATCAAGACACTTACAGTTGGACAAGTCCCTCAGGAAACTAGTCCAGTACTTGTTAAAGAAAATACCACCCACGTGAAATAGATGGTTATTCACTAAAGAGTCAATTATCCCTTCAGCAGAAGAAACAAAATAAAATGCAACGGCATGAACAAGTCCTTGGTTTTTACATAAAAAGACTTTGGATTGGATTGTTATTCACTAAACTGAATAGGGAGGATATTATTCCAGGGACTAGATGCTTAAAAAGTCAGTAAAGCCCAATGCTGCAATGCACCCTCTTAGTGGACAAAATCCAGAAAAGTTGCATGATCAACATATAAAAGAAAAAGATAAAACAATACAAAGTATCAATAAAAAAGAACTATAAGCTTCCCATTATTTCTTAAAAAATTAGTCATCTTCTGCTTACTATAATTTTGTCCTCCCCTCAAAGAAAGAGAGGAAAAGAGCCACCATACATGACCTATTTTTGTTTAATTCCTCAAAATGCATCACACCAGTTTTCTACATAACTATTCATGCTTTGTTACAAGAAAACTAGCCTAAACTTCAACATATGCAAGTTGTGATCAAAAGAAATATCCGGGCTACATGCAAATACTCTAAAAATATGACAAAAAAGAAAAATACCTGATCGATAGTGCGTATGTCAGGAGAAAGGCCACCATGTACACAAAGTACCTGCAAAATAGAAAATAATAAAACTATTAAAGAGTTACAAATAAGGTGCTAAGATATAGATGGTTTAGAGAGAGAATGCTTACAGTCCCATCTATAATTGCTGAAAGTGTAAGATAGTCAAAAACATCTGTACAATACCGCCATGCATTAGCATTGCCATACTTCCTCTGGCACTCATCATAGAAACCATAAACCTAGAAAGATATGTACACACCGTAAAACCGTCAGCCCTTGATATTTGGAATACTTTCCTAAAACATTCCATCTTTAGAGCACTACTCAACAACCCTAAAAATCAAACTAAAACGATATTGCATAAAGAACTTCCAATAACTCCGATCCTCAGATTCAGTACACACCTAAAACTGTTAGTCCTTGGTATTTGAATGCTTTTCTAAAAATTCCAGCTTTAGAACACTACTCAACAACCCTAAAAATCAAGCTAATATGATATTGTATATAGAACTTCCAATAACTCTGATCCTCAGATTGAGCATGCTACTCTCAAATTTTACCCTTAGATTTTCATTAATGTGTCCTCATTCATTCAATCCTTTTTTCCACAAAAAAAGAAAACGTAATCATGGAACTGTAACCAAGCTTTAAGCATGACAAGAGACAGCTTCAAAGAAAGAAAAATGAAAAGAAAAAAGACATAACGGTGTAACACACTTATAATCACACACAATAGCACATAAACACATTCTATAAGGTCTTTATAAGCATATTCCATAGTGGTATAATTCAAAAGCACACCTGAGTTAGCTGTCTGCTTTCATGATTCCCACGCAAGAGAGTGATGTTAGCTGGGTACCTATGATTCAGAAAACAAAAGAGAAAAACAATGTTACCTCTTATTTCAAACAAGAAACAACATTTGATAACCTAACAGGCCAAAGAAAAGAATCTGAAATTTAATTTCCTTATCAAATGCATAGAAAAAGCAATAGCAGAACCAATTCATGGTATCTGTATTTTGAGACTTCTAAATACAAGTATGATAATGTATACTACCTCCATCCCATAAGTTATGTCTGGTTTGACTTTTTTACAGTCAAACTTTATCAACTTTGGCCATTGTTATTTTAAATATTTTATAAAATTATATTTGAAAACTTACTCATTCAAGGTTTTTTGAAAGTATTTTCTCATATTTTAATTAGCAATATATTTAAAATAAAATGAAGTCAAAGTTGAAAAAGTTTGGCCCTCAAAAGTTAAACTAAATTATTATTTATAGGACAGAGGGAGTACAATATATCCTTCTATCTTGCTGCCAAAGCACCATAATTGCTTTGAAAGAATCTTTTGGCCTGAAGCAGGAAAAATTAGTAATTTCAAACTAAACAAGATAAGCATTGGTTTTTTCTTCCTATACCAAACTATAATTTGGAATTGTGTATGAGATTGCTGGTTAACAACAATGATCAGATACACCTTACACTGGGGGTGCATTGTACATTAGAGGTATGAAAATTGAGCTAGTAATCACATAGTGAACTGAGAACAAGTCACAAGAAGAGAAATAATGCACCCAAGCACATGGATGAAAATCAGTAGATAAATTGCAAGCAAAATTATAGAGATACTTCAGCATGTATCCAAAGGGCATACCTTGCCTTAAGAAGTAAAAGAATAGTGAAAACTTCAAGACTATTATAACCTCGATCAACAAAGTCTCCCTGGAGGAAATAGGAAGGTTTAGCACCCATTAGTTGAAATCAATAATCTATAACAGACACCAACATCACCTAGAATTTTCACAACTGTTTCCACATAGGAGGTAGAAACTATACCATAAAAATGTAATTTGTCTCTGGTACATGACCTCCTGTATGAAAAAGTTTCATTAGATCATGAAACTGGCCATGGATATCACCACAGACAGTTACTGGACTGTTGACAGGTTGCACATTCGACTCCTCAATGAGGATTTCTTTTACCTGCAATGTTTTACAGGATAAAGTATACAATGAACAGTGTTCAGATGAAATGACACAATGAATAAACCTTCAGAGCAAATTAACAATATAGCAACGACCAATGTACTCCTTTAAAATGAATAACATAGAAACTAAATACTATAACAATAAACGTTATGCATATGATTCTTCAATCGAATAAAATCTCCATAAATGCAGGTTAATCTAGATCCTGGAAGCGTTGTTTTTATAAAAAATAACTCAGTTGTGTGATTATTCTTTAGAAGCAATACCAACAGATGATGCTAAAGACATTAAGCACTATAATTTCAAAAACAAAAAATGCATAGATGCCATGAATTTTAAATAGTAATGAACTTAACATTTTCGTGCAGTTCTTAATACATTTCCAAATGCTCAGCTTCATTTTAACAATTCAAAAAGTCATTTTCTAATTTCTCCTAATTTCTCAATCAGCAAAAGACTCCATAGAAACCCTACTTTTACGCATCAATATAGACGCAGAGAAAAGGTAACCAATTTTAAAAACCCTAGTAGAAAAAAGGGGCCCGAAGAAAGAAAAGGGAGAAGAAATACGTATTCGCAAAGAAGCTGAAGCTCGTCTTCCAAAAGATGTTGCCCTCCTTTAACCTTTGCTATCCACTGATCCAAATCCATCGATCTCTTCTCTTCAGAATTTGAATTCCTTTACTGTTGCTGTGTTTTCAAGAGAGAAAAAGGAATCTGAATGAATATGAAGTTTCTCGCTCTTCTCCCTGTATCTAGGGTTTTAACCAGAGGATAGACTGCGGGAAGAAGCAAATTTCAATGGACGCTTTTTTTCTTTGTTATTTTTTTCGTCCGTGTTCCGTTAAACAATAGAGTGAAACAAACAAACAAGGATCTGGGCGTTATTTTTTTTATTTTTTGTTTTCATTTTATAGAAGATGGGAATAAAGCTTGAACCAGCAGTGAAAACGACAGCGTCTTATATCAGTACCTAATTATTTCTCGTTTACTTTTTCATTTTTCGTTTATGTTTTTCCTCTGCCAACAACGAAAGTAGTTGAATAGTAATGGATGATCGGCTTAAGGATAGATATGTAAATGAACATATCGTGAATAGAGTAGCAGATTATTTTTCGTTTGTTTATATTACTAGTAATATTTTTGAATTTATTTATAAAACAAATTAATTTTGAATAAAATTATGTTTAATTTGTTTATATTTATGAATAAATTTATTTAAAGATTATTTATAATTTTTTGATTAATAAATCATTTAAATTTCATTTATTATTTGATAATAAAAAAATAATAATCTTATTCATTTACCTTAATATTACTATTATCGTTCATTCACTCATATTTTACCCAATATTATCCATTTAATTATTGACGATAACAACATTAATAGGTCTTTATGAAAATTCTCTGTGGGCTTTTGTTTACTCTGGAAGCTGCAATCAGTTTGTTACTTGTGGACTCCAACTTGTCGCTAGGGCCCAAAAAAGCCTGACAAATAGTCCACATAAAAAGGAAAAAGTTACAATAAAACAAACATATATATATATATATATATAGTAAAGTGTTCTTGTATTTTTCTTTGACCAATATTTGGAATCTGTTGAATCGTGATAATCTTCTTCTTCGTAAGCCTACGCAATTCTCGACCTCGGAAAGAATTGGGAAGAAGAAAGGGAAAGAGGAAAGAGGCAATTCTCTAACTTTACTGGTTTCGGAAGGGAAGAGATGGGAGAGGTGTTGTGTTCGAGTGGTTCATCAATTGCCATTGACTCCTCCAACATTGGCTTCCAGGTATTCAATCTCTCTCTTCTCTATAAACTCAGGGGTTTTCATTGGAACTTTTTTTTTCTTTTTCTGATCATTTTTTAATGGCTATTGACTTTTGGGGTTTTCTTTTTGGCAGCTATTAAAGAAGCATGGATGGAAAGAAGGCACTGGTCTTGGTATTTCTGAGCAGGTGTGGTTTATCTTTGAAACCCAAAACTCTTTTCTTTAATTCCAAGAAAAACTTGTAAAATTTCCATGATCTCTTTAAAATATTTTCATCTGAATTTTAGATGGTTCTATTTTATGTTTTTAGGGTAGATTAGAACCTGTACAAGCATGTGTGAAGAACAATAAAAGAGGTTTGGGAGCGGAGAAGAAGAGAAAGACACCAAAGCCTAGTCATACTCCTGATTCCAAGGCACAAAATGATCAGGTGACTCATTCCTTTTACTACTATATACTTTCCTTATTAGATGCTAAATGGGTTATGATAATTATTTCGGAGTTTACTTCACTCGGATGATTCATGCCACCATCGTTTAAGAGATGGTAGTATCTAGCAAGTTTAAGGTTCGAATTTCAACAATTATAATCTCTTCCCTTATATCCAAGCAAGCTAGGACCTTCATTATAAAAGAAAAACAAAAAAACCATATTACTTACTATTAAGTAAGCAATGCTCCATAATAGCTGTGTTGATGTAATATTCATGCTTACATGGCTCTGAATGTTTCCTATGCCGCATGGTACTGATGCCAGTTGGTTCATTCATCATCGCTATGAATTTCAGGAAGAGAAACCTACAAAGAAGACCAAGGCACTTTCCAAAAGGATGCGGAAGATGCAACAACGGGAAAAGCATCTGCAAGAAAAGGAATTTGAGCGGGCTTTTTTTAGGGAGTTTTGGCCAGATAATGTTTGACTTGCTATTTGCAATTTATTTTTCTCCCCTTAAATGGTTGTCTTGAGAATGTATACAGGCTGTTAGAATCTATATATACTCCAATTCTGACGTGATCTTTCATAGTTTTGATGTATCACATACGCTGGGTGGCAACTAGAGAGATTACAAATGATGTGAAAAAGATATTTTCTGAGAATAAGCTCTCCATTCACTCCACCAAAGCCTCAGCAATGGCAGGAGAAGACTGTCCATAAATCAAGGAGCAACAGATTAGACCATAAGCAAATATATATATATATATATATATATATATATATATTGGCAGAACATATGCATTATTATCATCCGGCCATGGAGAACAATTAAGTAGAAATTAGATATATTTGGCCCTTGACAATTTACAATCTGAGTGTTGTTCACAGCATTTATCATTTCTTTTTCTTGTCATCAGCTCTAATGACCTGAACAGGTGCTGCTGGTATCCTAAACCACCATTCTCTAACCCTTCTCAGCAATCTGTCACTGCTTTCTCTCCTATACGACAGTTCCCTTGTAAAACCCTCTAGGAATACAAACAATATCAAGTATCTCAATGGTACCAAAGCTAACATTACAGCCATGAAAGCCAGTAAGATAGCAACCCTGTCAGTGGCCTGTCAGACAGATAACGCATAGAAAACATTGTCAGGAGCTATGCCAAATTTACCAATTATTATATCAAATTAACTTCAAAGTGCTATGCAATTTGGTTGGGTGACCAATTAATCATATGCTAACATTCTACATTTTTTCAATTAATTACCACTCAAAATGAATTTCAAGAAAGAACAAGACATTGCTACTTTAATTTGACTTGAGCTTCACTTTTTCAGCTATTCTTCATGAGAGTATTCTAGTCATTTCCATGGTTTTTAATAAATTGTTTGTCATCACTTATCCATGTCTTAACAGTTAAAATGGACTGAATACGCATTCAACTAAGTTCTGTCCCAGTTTTGTCGATCAATAGGGCAAGACTTTCTAGAGCACATGCAGCACTAGATACAATGCTTACCAAATTCAAACTCCATGAAAAAGACTTGAAATCCTAGATTGCCCCTTTTTTCTGCTATTTTCAGAAAAAAAAAAAGTACAAGAAAAGAAAAACACCAAAATGCCTATCCAAAACTCCACCCTAACCCTCTTTCTTTGCAAACCCTCTGTAGAATCAAGCCGGTAAATAAACTACTAATTGATTCAATTACCAGCAGCAAGATGATGCTAGTAAACAAAGAAACTTATTCATGCTAATGTACCTTAACGAAGATATAAGCCAGAACTCAGAAATTGAATTTAAGTTTTGTTTTTACTCTGTATCAGTTCAATGTGATGGGGAATGGGAAAACTTGCAACAACTCGTATTGGCATTGCATACTACTTATATATTATGGGAAGTACGCATTTAGCACATATTAGTTTTCGTTTATCTGATTCAAGTATAGCTGGGACATGTACCTGTGGTAAAACAGCAAAGAAGAGAGCCCTTATCTTGAGAAGAAAAACATTCCCAGTTTGGATTAGTGCTTCAAGTTGAGAGATGGCTTCTTGTAATGCCAGCAGCTGCTCAACTGCATTTTTATTTGGTGGAGTTGTTATTCTGAAGGCTTCTAAGTGTTTCCCTTTGTTAAAATGCCTGCGCCAGAGCATGATAATTGCAAAGGATACAAAAAGAGATGCCAAGATATAACTGATCCAACCCCTGCAGATCATAATTAATGGATTCATTATATCATTTGGTTTTGTGTATGTAATCACAAAATGTTAAACATTTAGAAATGTGAAAAAAAAAAAAGGCCTACACTAAACTGAATGTAGAACAGAAATGGACATTTATGGTGCATTTACAATATGCCTGGCAAGGAAAGGGCATGGAATCCAACTCAGAAGAAAACAAATCTTGAAATGTTGCATGCAGAAAATTCAGGGAATGATCAGCTAAGCCATCCATTAACATAAATATTTTCCTGATCAGTTGGCAATTCATATTGCATGAATATTTTCACCTTACATGTTTCAGCTTTCACGACATACAGAAGGAGAATTTGTATTATTCTTAATGCATCTTGAAGCAAAGTATGAAAAGACCAGTCATAGACAAGTTACCTGATAATTGCACAACAGGTCAACATCAGAAAGACAGTTGACTTAAAAGGGTCTCTCCAAGAAGCCAAAAGCTCAAGACGAGTAGCTAATTGAATGACAGGAAACAGTAGTTCCTACGAATTAGAAAAAGAAAAAATTGTCAACTTCAACAACCTGTTGCAATTTTCAAAAGGATTTCGGTGTTCGGTTAAGGTAGTACAACAAATGGCTTGGCAGCTGTCCAGTATCTAATTGAACACCAGGTTGTTTATAGGAGCATGACAAAACAAAACCTTCCCTAAATCAACTATGGAATAAAATGAATTAACTTTTTCTAATGACAACTTCTGCTGAACAAATTAGTTAATAACTTCATCAAACTAGCCAATCATATGAAAGTTGTTATGATCTGAAATCAAATCCAATAGATGGGAGATTGATATAACCAACCTTCATTACGGCTAAATTTGTATCAATCCCTTCTACCTTCACTTGGTCCACCGTTGCCTTTGCAGCTTCAGCCCTTCCAGTGTTAGATATAGATCGCTTCACTGCTATCTCTAAGGGATTTGTCTCCCCAACACAGAAATCTCCAACTATTAATGCTTCTACATCAAGATTTGTATCCTTCTGTAGAATGAATCCAAGTTGACTAAGTGCCAGAAATGAAACACGAGAGGAAGTTGGCAGCTTTTTCACAGTGCGTGGGGAAGTATCGGAATTTAAAAGTGCCAAACGACTAGAAAGAGTTTCCAAAATCACATCACCTCCAGGAAGGCTCTCAGCTAGGTTAAAACTAAGTAAGGTTTTATACTGGGATGCGAAGAACTTAAAAGCTTCTCTCAGTGCACGATAACGGAAGATACCTAATATAGCTCTTGCAAGTATTTCTGACTGCTGAGTCTCTTTGAAGTTGTTTTTTCTAGCAAACCTGTGAGCATGGAGGATCTCTTGGGATATATCTAACCAATAGTCTCGACGAGAATTGCCTTTAAATTCAGGAAACTCAAAATAAACGGGCTCTGTTCTGCAAATAAATTTTAAAAATTCCAAAGAAATATAAAAAATGTTTTTAGAACAAGACTATAAGTTATATAATTCCAGGTTACTGTGTTGACATATAACTTACAAAGTTGTTGATTTGTACATAACAGCTTTATCAAAGAGACGAGCACCCAGTGGCCCAGTCAATTCAGGTTTTATGACCTGCTTCAGGTCCGCTGCCAGATCATATCTCACAGCTTTGTCATATACACCAACTCCCAAAGACTCAAAGTACAGAGCAAAGTTGGTTAGTGTGAGCCGTCCTGCATCAACAGATAAACATCCCAAAGATAGCGCAAATGATACATGTTATTAGAGGCTTTCAATGAAGTATATGAATCAATGAAATCATTGAAACTGACAAGACTTCTAAGTCTAAAAATGATTTCTGTTGCATGACTGATTGTATAGATAATTTTTATTACACATTCATTTCATAAAAACAATACATGTGAATGTTTAAAAATTTTACATTAACAATGTATTATCAGCAAAAATATCAGTACCACTTGAGGCATCCATAGATTAGACATTAAAGTCCATCTACTGATAAAAATCAGTTGCACTCGATACATTCATATGAAAATAACATTTTCTTGAACACAAATATAGTATGGCCTAGCTTGATATATACAAGCACCAGCCCAGCCACCCTATAAAGGGAATTTGGTTAACAGTCTTAACAACTAGTCAACTTTTACCAATTGTATACAATCTAAATCTAGGTTTACTTCCATAATTTCTGGTCAATTTTAAAAACATTGAAATACCTGGCCATGCTGAGATTCCAACATGTTGCAGAACTGGTTGAGTTGGAACTGCACCTTCAATATCTAAAATTATCTCCACTTCAGAAAGTGGAAGATTAGAAAGTGAGGGTCCCAATGAATTTTTCACGGCCTTGATAACCCTAGGGATAGGTAAAGTTTCATAATAAATAAATGTCCTAACAGTTTCAACTTAGAAGTAAAAAAACAATAAAACACAAGACTACAAAAGATATAGGTAGATTAGACATGTTTCTGCCATGAGTGTCAAACCTAAACATTATTACTTAGAATAGATAAGCACTGAGACTAAGTAATAAAATATGAAGAAAAGTTACTATAGCTCAACACAAGAAATTTTAAACCCTAATCACCTTAGTTTTCATGATCCATTTTATTAGAAGTTTAAAATATTTTAAACAAATGGTAAAAGATGTAATAGTATCAAAAGACAAGGATCTGTAAATCTTAAGTCTATCATTCCCCATATGTTTACAACAAGTGACTTGGTGCAACAGTTAAATGACAGAAAGCATTAGAGTTCACAAGATTGATAGAGAACAACAAATCATCCATACTTGTCAAGGCTTCGGAGGTATTTTTCATATACAAGAAAGTGAAGTCGGTGGCCTGAAGAGCTTGTCAATGCATCAAAAAGATTGTGGACAGTAATTATATCTGCAACAGCAGCACAGACAGGAGCTATTCGGGCAAAAGCCTCTTGCCCAACAGTTTTCTGGTTATCAACCTGATGGAAAAGTAAAGAATCAATTTCAAAAATCAGCAGGGACAGAGCCGGGGGGTGCAAAGGGGCCATGGCCCCCTTGGCTTTACCAAAATATATTTCACAAGCCTACAAATTTCATAAGCCTTTCGTAATATTAATACTTGGCCCCCCCTATTCTTATAAATTCTAAACTTATAACTTTTTATATTTTCCAAATTCTATACAAAATCTATGAGTTCTTTTTGAAGTTTTTACTGAATTTAACCAGTATGTTCTTCTTCACAAATATATCTTCATTTTTTATAGGGCCCTTTTCCTTTGTCTTATGCTTAAATGGTTGCCTTCAATTTTGTTCTACTCCTTTTTGTTTTCTTTACATATAAATTATTACCTTTAATTTCGCTTTTATTTTTTCAAGTTTCTTTTACAAAAATTATGTCATATACTTTATACCTCAAAGACATTATAACAACATTTAATAATAAATACATTAAAATGCAAGAAGATTACTAGAATAGTTTTTTTAAACAGATCATAAAATAAATAGATAACAAAAAATAAAATTATAGTATGATTATTTTTATAGAAAATTGTAGCATAATTGGCCCCCCTCAACTTGAAACTCTGGCTCCATCACTGAATATCAGTGGTCACTTAAAATAACGTTCAAGGTAACTGAAAAGCTAAAGAATTACGAATCCCTGGAAGAATGCCATTAACATATTGCCAGGCAGTACAAACCTACAACCTCGTTATGCAAATGGAATTCATGAAACAAGCAAAAAAAACTAATATAACAAACCTGAACTGCCATATTCATTGAACTAGAATAAAACAGTGACCCGCCTTCTTCATCCTCTACTTCCTCCTCGCTGGATGAAGTTTCCTACAACAAAAGAGAAGTTCAGAGACCATTGTAGCCCCCTCCCCTCCCTCCCCCCCCCCCCCCCCCCCCCCGAAAAAAAAAAAAAAGAAAAAACCTCATACTCAAAAGTTTTCAATCAAAATATCAGCAAGGACATGTCTGACAAACAACTCCAATGCATCACTTACTTTGATTCGTCGTTCACACTCAACACAAGGAGCCTCCCACGCAAGCATCATCTCATATGTTAATCGACGGAATTCTGGGTCACTCAAATAATCTGGATTTCTACTAAATTTATGTAATGCTTGGTATGAGCAAAACTCTAAAAAGTTCCTAGCATATGTGAAAAGCTGTTTAACACTTTCTGGCAGCTCTATGTCGAAACGATGCTGTAATTCTTCCGTAGGAATTTGAAGAATCCTGCAACAGTTTGTAAAAAAGCTTTGGGTAATTGAAAATTCAAAATTAAACAATTGTTATTGAAGAAAAAAAATGCATTGATTTTACTTTCATAACAAAACAATTAAGTTAGAAATTGGCATCAATTGAGAATCCCTAATTAACATTTTGATCTGACTTCGACTAAAAACGTAGGATTTCAACAGAAACGAACAATGTGTAGAGAGAGACAGAGAGTACTTGGAACAGCGAGAGACGACGGAATTGGCGAGAGGAGAGAGCTGAGGGATGGGTCTAGGAGAGGTTTCGAGGGATTCTTCATCGTTGGATGATGATTTTCTGCGCTGAAAAAGGGATTTCAATTTACTCTGATTGTTTCTCTTGAAATTCTCCCACATTCCCTCCATTTTAGTTTTTCTGATTTCACGTCAATCGGAAATTTCAGCCCACTGATAACTTGGGCATTTAATGAAGATTTTAAATAAGAAAATACCGAAAGATTGATAGACGAAGAAGCATTTTATTATCTGTTTCTTTTTGTTGGCTATTTCTCTCTATTTCTCAGAGCTCTTCACTTCGTTTTCGTTTCCCTGCTTCCTCTCGTGGCAGTTATTTTACTTTTCTAACTTATAATTTTGTCCTTTTCCTTTGTTTCACAATTAAAAAAAAAAAAAAAACTTAAAAAAAATTTTTTTTTATTAAAATTTAATAATCGGTCTTTTTTTTTTTCTATCAATTAAATCCTAAAATATTTATTTCCATCAATTGAACTTTTGTTAGATGAAAAATATTTAATTATTTTTATCTAATTGAAAGCTTAATTTGATAAAAATAAATATTTAAAGGTTTAATTGAGTAAAAATAAGTATTTAAAGATTTAAATGATTAAAAATAAAAAATTCAGAATTTAATTGGTTACAATAAAATATAAGAACTTGTATGATTATTAAATTTTTATTTAAATATTTTTCCTAATCTTTTTACGAAAAGAAATTATAATTTAAATTCTCATATAAAATAAGTCACTTTAAGACTCATACTATTTAAGATTAATTTGACAAAATAATGAGATATTTTCATTATGTCATTTAATAATGTTACGAGGTTATGAGAATTTCTCTCATCACATTATTAAAGGAAGGAAGGGATCAAGTTACACAAAAAATAATTTTTACATTTTTTTAAATTATTGATTTCAATAGTTTTAATGGATGAGATTAAATTTTTTTTTTACTTGTCTCTATTATCCTTTTGATTTATTAAATAACAAATTAAGTCTTATATCACATAATTTTGAGATTGATTGTACGAAATGCCAAAAAAGGAATCATGTTATGTTGTAATTTTAAATTTTCCTATGCCACTCATATTTATACAAAAAGAAAAAAAACTCTTTATCTACTTCTTTAATCTTTATATAATTTTTTATTATTTGCATCTATATCTTTTGTAGCCTACCTTTAAAATTTTGGTCTCTCATAAATTAAAAAGCTCATTTCTCCTAACTTATGCATAAATAGACTTACGTTTCACATATCCAAACCATCTCAAACGACCCTTTCTCATTTTTTTCTCAATTTAGACTACTACTAATTTTTTTAAAATTTCTTCATTTTTATTTTGTCTCTTCTAATTTTACCACATATCTATCTAAGTCTCTTCATCTCAATTATGCTCATTTTTTTCTCATGTTTTTATTTAACAACTCAACACTCAGTTTTATATAACAACACTGGTCTTATAGTTGTTTTATACAACTTCACCTTTAACTTTAAAGGCATGTTATAATTATACAACACACTCAACGCACTTCACCATCTCACCCGTCCTACTTGAATCCTATGATTTATATCTTTTTTTATCTCAGCATCGATCTCAATAATTGATCTTAAATATCAAAACTTACTACTCTGAGTACTACGTTACCACCTAACTTAATCACACTAACATTAACTTCTTTATGATTACTAAACTTATATTCTATATATCTAGTTTTAGATTTACTTAATTTAAAGCCTTGAGACTTTAGTGCATGCCTCCATAATTCAAATTTCACATTAAGATCATCACTAGTTTTAGTAACTAAAACTATATCATTAGCAAATAACATACACGATGGCATATTGTCTTGGATATATGTAGTGAGCTCGTAGATAACTAATACAAAAAGAAATAGATTTAGTGCTAAGCCTTGATGCAATTTATGGTAATGGGAAAGCTATCAATCGCGTCCTCAAATGTTCTTACATTCGTTATAACTCATTCATACATATATTTAACTATGCTAATATACTTTAAAGGAACTTTTTTCTTCATTAAAGCCCATCAAAACACCTCTAGAGGAACTCTACTATATACTTTCTCTAAATTCATAAATACCATATATGGATCTTTTTTTCTTGCTTAAACCCTCTAACAGAAGCCTTAATAAATGAATTGTCATTATTGTGAAACGTTCTAACATAAACCCAAATTGGTTTTTGAGAATAATGATCTTATGTTGCAACTTTCATTCAATTACTCTCTTCCAAAGTTTCATAGTATGGTTTAAAAGCTTTATTCCTTGATAGTTCAAATAAATTTGTATATTACATTTATTCTCTTATAAAAGCACTATAGTATTCTTCCTTTATTCTTCTAGCATCTTTTAAGTACGTCAAATTTTATTGAAAAAATCCATCAACCATCCTATCTTTATTTCATCCAAGCATTTTTAAATTTCAATTAGGATTTCATCTAGTCTTATAACTTTCTTTGCTTCCATATTTCTTAAAACCTTTTTAACCTCATACATTTTAATATTCCATTTAAATACATGATTTATATCCTTAAAAGGTATGTTAAGTCCACCTATATCATGTTCAAAATTTTCATTAAAAAGATTATCAAAATAATCTTTCAGTCTATTCTTAATTTCTTCATCATTCATTAAAAACTCTTTCACCACCACCTTTAATGCATGTTACGCCATTAAGATCCCTACTCTTCTTATCCATCATCTTAGCAATTTTGAACAACTATTTTTCTCCATCTCTTATCTCTAACTTTCTATATAATTCATCATGAATCCTAGCTTTTGAATCTTGAATAGCCTTTTTAGCTTCCTTTTTTGTTGTCATATAATTTAGATAACTCACTTCATCCTTATTGTTCTTTAAATTTCTATAACTCTCCCGTTTAGCTTTAATTGTCATTTTTACATCCTTATTCTACCATTAAGATTCTCTTCCTAATTGTACACAACCCTTAGATTCTCCAAATAATCTATTAAAATTAATGAATAAAAAGCATAAACTAAAAAATTTTACACCAATGTAAGTTGACCTTGCTCCATGAATGAATTCTTAGATAAATAGCACAATTTTCTTTTTCATTGTAAAAATTATTAACTTTTACTCCCAAAAAAAAAATTCCAAAAATGTCTTTACACTTTCTAAAAATAGATATGAGATTATATTTTAAAACCAAATATTACTAATTATGACCATTAACTACAATTATTAATTTTTGGTTAAATTGTTATTTTTATTTTTATTCATTATTATTTTATGAAAGTTATGAGTTGTTCAGTAAAGTGAAATGTGCTCACATTTTTCAAAATTTAATTGAATGGAAGCAAATTTTTTGTGTTTGGTATATTACATTTTTGAAATGTAAACTTTCTTATAGGCATCACATTCCCCTTAAAACATAGTAATGTGATTTATTTAAAAAGGTGTATAGTTCGGGAAAAAATAAAGATTATTGGTCGAAATCTTACTTTTCGTAATTTGATTCCTTAATTTGGTTAACGGAATCTAATTTCTAAAATTTTAAAAAATTTTTAATAATACAAAAAAAAGAGGGTTATAGTCTTAAATAAAAAAACCTTTCTCTCCCTAAGGTTTTTTTAATCTTCTTAGCATAATATAAATTTGTCCTACTTTTGCTTTTAATAATAATTTTTTACGATTTATTTTATTTTATCTTTGATTGCATGATAAATTGAGATTTATTTTGACGCACGAAACTGCATTCCAAGCCACATGATTGGACACTTGGTAATAGTTATGTGTAATTAAATTTTTATAAATTACATATTTGTTTTCAACTAATAAAGTTTTAGCAAAATAATGTTTTATAATTATAAATTTAGTTGATCTTGTATAAAATAAAATCAAAATAAATTCAAAAAATTTCATTTACACAACCTTATTTTGTTAGAAATGTAGTCATATGTTATAATATATTAAGAAAAAATTAATTATAATAAAAGCAACATTTAAAAAATAGTAGATTGTTGAAATTTTTTAATTTTGATTTTTTTATAGTTTTAGAACCATTATGTTTTTAACATATGAAAAGTAGTTGATCGAAAAAAATAATAACAAAATAAATTTTATATTTTCAATATCAACAATGCTTCTTAGTATAGAAATGTAGTAATTGATAAAATGTAGTAATTAAAAGAGGAAAAGTGATATTGATTTTATATTTGGAATTTTAGAATTCGTAAATTTGAAGATGTTTTTAAGATAAAAACACAATCTTAGTTGAAAATATGAAAAAATATTTTTTAAAATTCAACAAAAATGACATTTTTAAGATAGAAAACATAGTCTTCGTTGAAAATATGAAAAAATATATATTTTTAATAATTTAACAAATATGACATTTCTAAGATAAAACAATATAGTTTTTATTGAAAATATGAAAAAATATTTTTCAAAATTTAATAAAGACGATATTTCTAAGATAGAAAATATAGTATTTATTGAAATAATGCTATTTTTAAAAGGGATAATGTCCCATTTGACCTTTGAACTATTGTAGTTTGTTGAATTTAGTACTTAAACAAAAAAAAAAATTCTAATAAAGTACCTAAACTATATTTTCGTGTGTTAATTTACCCAAACTGTTAACATTGTTAACCTTAATAGCTGACGTGACATGAACATTCAAAAAATATTGACATGTATAAAAAAAGTCTAGTTACTGTCGCATCATTAATGTCACGTTAGCATTAAAATAAATTTTTTAAAAAAATCTAAAAAATTCAAAAAAATAAAAAAAAATCTATAAAACACAAGTTTTTCTTTCCAATTCATTTAAAACATTTTCTCTAAAAAAATTCAAACACTCTCAACCTCTAAGAACACCGGCCATTCCCAAACCCAGAAATCAATGGTTTGCCATTGCGCCAACCACTATCTATCACTGCTAGCCACCAATCGCTAGTACTGATTTAAGTTTAAATTTCACTTGCCAATTCCTTTCAACCCCTTCTTTCATATTTCGACTTTAGTATTTTCAAAAACAATCCCTAGAAGCCTAGATCTAGTATTAAAGATTAGGTAAAAATTTCCTTTCATCAATTATTGTTTCTCCAATTACCCTAATCTTTTACTATGTTGTTTTTTTCCTCAAGGCCTTTTACTTTCTAAAGATCTAGCTTAAATACCATCCAAAACAATCAAACCTAAATCTTAACTTTAGTGTTAAATTTTTTTTATTTGGCTTTTGTTTTGTGGTTCTCCTTTTGAGGATGTGGTTTTTTGTGTTTTTTTTTACAAGTTTGGATAGAGTGTTGATAGAAAGGGGTTTG